TGTAACATGATGTAACATGATGTAACATGATGTAACATGATGTAACAGAAGCTGATTCAATAGCAGCATTTAAAAGGGAATTAGATAAATAATTGCAGAAAAAGAAACAGAAAAATAGCGAGAGTTAGGAAGTGATGGGACTGTTTGGGTTTTTTCTTTGAAAGCAGCACTGACTCAACTGAATGACCGCCTTCTGTTTACACCATTTTATAATGCTATGAAATTCACACCATTTTATAATGTTATGAAAGAAAGCACTTGTTGATTTATAACCCAAGTGTCAAACTTATAAAAGAGTACAAACAGGTTGTTATATATACACACATATACATAAAACATTCCAGTAGCTGGTGTACAGAAAGGATTTCCTTTATTATATGGGTCTTGCCATGAATAAACATATTCCAGAATTATTATTTTTCAAGTTAAAAAAGCACTAACATTCATATTACATCCAGGATCTACAGCAGAACTGAAATATGATTGTATTAACTACTCTTTCGCAAATTTCAACTAGCCAAAAAAGTTACAGAATATTTGTAATAAAAGTTAAAAACAAAGCTGACATTTCATTCCACTTGCATAATTCCTGTTTGTATCTTATTTTAATCTTTAAATGCAAGTTGTCTGTGAAATGAAAACACAAGCTCCCATAGGTAATTTATAAACTAGAACCGGCCCACAACCAAGTCTCCCAGTGTATTTCACTATGTGCATTACGCAAACCTTTACTGTTAGATGGAAATGTACCTGCTGATGGAAGAGATCTTCATCTCTAATCTCAACTTCCTCCTCCTCCTCTTCCTCTGGTACAGTGGTTGTGAAGATGGTACTTCTGTCAGCCACCTCCTACATAAAATGAGAAATCAATTTCTGAAGTAACAAGAGCTACAACTAGTGAAATACACTGCAAACCCTTTTAGATGGAGTTTCTTTTCGCACAGAAGTTACATTTTATTCTTGACTGCCTGGGAATTTTACATAAAATAGCCTAGAACATTCATTTCCTATCCCTTAATGTTTCCAGCTGTTAGCTATTGGCACTAGGTTTTAGTCAGTATCTAATGATTACAAGGAAATCTTCATGAAGTGCAGTTATTTCAGCCTCTGTAGTTGTGTAAATATGCACCAGCGCTTTTCATAATAGACTGTAAACATCATTCCCCCAACAATATTCAAAAGATACATTTAAACACATGAAATTGTCGTTATTTGAAGACTGTTACAGCATTAGCTTTGATCACATAGAGCTAATGGAGAGAGATAAGGGGAGGTGATGGCATAGTAACACAGGCTAATATTCCGAGGACTTGGATTTGAATCACATCGTGGCAGCTGGGTGAAAATGTAAATTCAATAATAACCACTGGCATAAAGAAAATTATACGGTTAAGTAATATCTGGCTTTGCCAGTTTCGTGACTCCAAACCTATAGCAACATGGTTGATCTTAACTGCCCTCTGAAATGGCTTAGCAAGCCACTCAGTTGTATCAAACCTCCAAAATCAAAAAAAAATGAAACCAGACAAACAATCCAGCATTGTTCCATGCACCACAAAACACCATCTCAGCTCTATCAGTTCTGCAAAGTCCAACTTATTAACATGTGGGGGCTTTGCATCAAAATTGTAAGAGCTGTACAAGAATAGGCAAGCAACAACCTAACATAGTCCTACTCTCAGAATCATACCTAACAGACACCACCACCATCCCTAAATATGTTCTGTTCTGATAGTAGGACAGACTCCCCACAGGTGGCACAGTGATACATAGTTGGACGTTGCTTGGGAGTCCTCAAATTTGCTTCCGGACTCCAAAATCTCCTAGCATCAGGTTAAAGATGGGGAAGAAAATCTCCTGATCATTACTACCTGCCACATGCCCATCAACTGATGAATTGTATTTCTTGGGGGAACCAAGGGCAAATACTCTGCAACATCTATCACAAGTTGCTTACTGCACCATTACTGACCAAACTCTAAAAAGAACATAGTTGCTAGTCTGGGTCAGGTGAAGAGGGAATCAACAAGAAGGAAACAAGTACGAGTTTATCCTCACCATTATACCTACCACAGAGGACGTGTGGTGGTTACTCCTACCAATTACTACCATGAACAAAGTCAGTAAATCGTGGGAACAAAGTCAGTAAATTATGGAAACAAAGTCCCATCTTCATTTAGGAAACCCACCAACGTATGGCACGACCAAAGCCATTAATTGAGCAGACCTCAAACAGACATAGCAACTCAAAACAGACATCCATGACGCACAGCTGAACTAAACCACAATCTGTAACCTCATGGGCCAGCATATCCCGTTCCTCTTCTTCCATGAAGTCTGGAGACCTGGTTCAATGAATGCAGGATAGCATGTCAGGAGCAGCACAAGGCATGCCTAAAAATGAGGTGCTAACCTCAAAACTAGTGTCACAAGATTACTTGCATGCAACAGAAGCAGTAAGCAACAGATAGGGGTGAGGGATCCTAAAACCAACAGATCAGATGCAAGCACTGCCACGTCCGTTCATGAACGGTGAAGAACAACTAAACACCACGAGATGGCAGCTCCAAACATCCCCCATCCTCAATGATGGGAGAGCCCCAGCACTTCAGTACAGAAAACAAGGCTGGTACATTCACATTCATCTTCAGCCTGATGTGCTGAGTGAATAATACAGCTCAGCCTTTTTCCAGCATTACAGATGCCAATCTTTAATCAAGAAGTGGGTGATCCTGCAAAGGCTGACTACGTTCCTTCAATAATACTGAAGGCTTGACTCTAGAACTAGCCATTTCCCTAAACAATCTACTCTAGTACTACACTAGCTCCAATTCTGGCACCTATTTGACAACACAGTAAGTTTATAGCACCCCTATCCTATTTTTCAAAATTTACTCGTAGGACATGAGTATCGCTGGCTGGCCAGCATTTATTGCCCATCCCTACTTGCCCTTGAGAAGGTGGTGGCAAGCTACCTTCTTGAACTGGTCTAGTCCACAAAAAGCAGGACAAAACCAACCAATCCAACTGCTGCCCTATCAAAGTGCAGTTTGGACTTGTTAACGCAAGTCAAGAGGAACTTGCTCACTACAGCATAGTTTAGTTTCCTCCAGGGCCAATCAGCTCCTGATTCATTACAGTCAAGTGGCTTAACGCCAGAAGTGAGGAGAGAGTGATTGTCCTTGACATCACTACAATATTTGACAAATGTATAGCATCAAAGGAGCCCTAGCAAAACTGGAGTAAATGGAAAACGGGAGGAAAACTCCCCCACTGGTCGAAGTCATAAAAAAAAAAGTTGTGGTTGTTACAGGTCAGTCATCTCAGTTTCTGGGCATACTTTTTCTTCAGGGTGGCATTCTAACCACAACCATCTTTAAGCCACTTCACCAATGACTTCCCTCCATCATATGGTTCACTGCTTGAACTGCATGGGGATGTTCACTGCTGATTTGAATGGTGCTAAAGCTTGTACAAACTCCTCAGATACTGAAGCAGTATTTTTTCCAAATGTAGCAAACCCTGGATAAAACTCAGGCTTGGGGTGACTAAGTAGCAAGTAACACTGACAGTACTAGGCAATATCCATCCTAAAAAAGCATCAACCCTTGGGCTCAAGGGCATTACATTGCTGAATATCCCACTATCTTCCTGTGATATTCCACTGATCAGAAATTGAATTGGACTAACCATAGAAACACGCAGGTACAAGTGTAGGTCAAAGACTAGGAACTTTGCAGTAACTCACCTTCTATCTCCCCAAAACAGTCCACCAATTACAAGACACAAGTCAGGAGTGTGACAGAATATTGACCACTTGCCTAGACTAGTGCATCTCAACAATCAAAAAGCTCAATGGCTTCTGGGATAAAACAGCCTGTCTTACTGGCACTCCTTCCAATACCTGCAACATTTACTTCTTTCACCACTGACACAAAGGCAGTATTGTGCACCAAGAAGCACTGCAGTAGCCCACCAAGGCTCCTTAGACAGCATCTTCAAACCTGCCACTTCTACCAAATCATTGTGCCAGAGACAAAATCTTAGAATTCCTTTCTTAGGAGCACTGCAGTGAGTTGGGTGCTACTCGATCTTTGCTTCAACAGACTGACCCCATGATTATGTTAAAACACCTTTAGGCAGCTCACCAACACCTTCTGCAGAACATTTAGGGATGGGCAACATTTGACAAAATATGGCATTAAAGGTGCTCTAGCAAAATTGGAGTGGATGGCAACCAGGGAGAAAACACTCAACTGGTTGGGAGTCACACCCAGCTAATAATGCCCACATCTCACGAACTAGGAGATTATTGACTGGGTATAACACACACAGCTTTCCCATTGGCTAAAAGCAGCATTACCTCTCCCTGAGAATTCTTGAGGACTACTTTCACATCTGCTCCAGTGCCCCAAGCATTCTGGTTCTTCCAAATGAGGTTGGCAGGTGGAGCTGATATCACACCAGCATCAGCAGCCCAGATCTGCAGTAACAAGATTATTGAACAAGAAGCATTTACAGTAGTATATTACATTGGTTACTAAAATGTCACACAATCCTTAACAACAGTACAGCTTCAAGGCAGACACATATTTGGTGAAGTCTTTCATAATAACTTGAATTTATGCAATTTCTTAAATCAACATCTAACATATTTTGGTTAACTCTTTAGTGTATAGTCTGTGACAGACAGTGTGTAGAAATTTTAGACTTCAAATCCAGCTGTTCGATGTTACTACGCGGAAGCAAAGAACACAAACATGCATTCAAACCTTCACATCTCAGGTTTGACACTCAAGTTGACTGGTGTGTAGGGAGTTAAGCTTTGGCTCAAGTTCCTAATCAAAATGGGCAATAATTTTTTTGGTACAGTGTGAAGTTAATAACGAGTAATGTTTATCACGTCATTTTCAAGAAACTTTAAACTGGCCAAACTAGCAACACTTACTTAGTGGTTAGTTGCCAAACTTACCACTGATTTCTACCCACCTCCCCACAACCCCCAAATGAGAGTGGGGGGGGGGAGAGAGGGGAAGAGACTCTGGAGTCAAGCTACCTACAAGAAAGCCTGCTCAAATAGAAAGCAACTGTTATGGCAGGCTCAGTAATCAAAAGCCTGAACCACAGATCTACAGCTGATGCTTCTGAAAGGAAACTAAGGTGATTCACACTTGGCTACAAATAACTCTAAACTAATGCAATATTAGGCGAGATGATGAAGCAAAGTTCATCAATTTGGAAGGGGTGGCTGAGGATGGTCTCACATTTGATCCTACCCCTCATCCTCTAGATTTATTAGAGTATATCTCTGAAGAGGGAGTGAATACACTTTAGACAAAAGAAATTGTTTATCAGCCATCTGTTCAACAACAAAAAAAAACAAGTGGGAATTTAGGGCATCACTGGAAACGTTTTTGCATTAGGAACCTGGATATCAGTTAATATCCAACATCCTGTTTAAAGAAACTCTAAGAACTGAAAATCCAACTTTACAATGCAGAGGGCACACACACTTCTTTCCCAATCCAACACTGCAATACAAGCATCAGGGTTCAACTCACACAGAAAATAGATGGGGGAGGGTGAAATCAGACAACCATTTTCTGATTTTTTTGGCTGAAGTACACTAAAGCTGACCAACAATGGAATTCTTCCCTTCCCACCGTAGCCATTGATAATAATGACTTAACTTTCAGATCTGATGCTAAGCTTTGCATTTTCCAGTTCTTTATAAAGCAGTATCTCATATTAAACAAGAACAGATTTTGAACTTACAGTTGTCGTCTGTCCGGCTTTCAACACATACTTTGGGGTAAATTTGTAAGAGACAGATGCATCGCCAATCTTTCTGGTCAACTCCCAGCCACCCATAGGTTGATCCTGTTCAAACGTTTGAGGAAATAAAAAGAAAGTTGCCATATATAAACTTTCGATCATTTGATGCATCCTATATTTAATTTCTTTCTCCACTCCTACCTGTTCTGAATTATTCTTTAGTCGGATAAATTTACCATCTACATCCACTTCCTCAATGGCAACATTCCCTGTGGCAGAAGCAAGATGAGAGATACTGAGACTACTACTGGCCTCAGATTCTTCAACATCAACACGTTTTCTCTTTCCACGAGTTGTGCGGACACTGCGGCTAGACGTTGCACGAGAAACAGTCACACGGGAAGATGGACTTGGTGACAACTTCAATCTGTAAAAGGTTAAGGAAACCAAAAAAATATAAAAGTGCTACAATAAAAAAGGCCATTTTCCTACATGTTGCAGGGGAAAAGTGATCACGTGGCACCATTAAGAACAATGTTAGTAGAGAGAAGTATTCTTATTTCAGAAAATCATGCAGAAATAGAAAAAAAATTTTAAAAATTGTGTAACTAGTTTATAGACCCTTCACAGGAATTAAACAGTAAAACACAAGAAAAATAATGAGTGATGGAAAGAAAAGGAGGTACAGTAAACATGGGAGATTTTAGTTTTTTGTATATATTGGACGAATCAAATTGGTAAAGAGAGCCTGAAGAGGGAGCATATTTAAGACAATTAGAGCAGTACTTTGCAGTGCCAACAGGAAACAGACTATGCAGACCTGGTAATATGCAATGAGACAGGATTAGTTAATGATCTCATAGTAATGGAGGCTATAGCCAACAGTGATCATGACATCATGAATTTTTTCTCAAGTTGGAGGGTGAGAATTGTGGATCCAAAACTAGCATTTTATAATTAAATAAATTGCATTTACAAGATAAGATGACAGTGTTCAACAAAGTGAACATGGACAATAGGTTAGAAAAGGATAGGACAGTAGAGATGCAGATGCAGTGTCCATGGCAGTGGTGGCGGCTAGATGAAAGAAGGAGAGGAGTTTAAAGATGACATTTCATAATGTTCAGCAAAGAGGCATTGCCAGGAGAAAGAAAGCCTTTACGAGAAGGACACTTCATTTGTGATGAATGATGAGGAATAATTTAAAGTTAAGGAAAAGTGCACTATACTACAAATGTTCGTGGTACACCACTAAAAAACAAATAGAAAAGGCAAAAAAGATTAGATTCCAAGAGAAAGCTAGTTAGAAACATATAAACAAACAGTCAGCAAGAGTTTCTGCAAGTATTTACAAAGGAAATATAATGACCAAAATGAGCATTGATCCCTTATAAGGGTGCGACTGGCAAGTTAATAACAGGAAACAAGGAAATGGTGGCAGTGTCAATTAGGTCCTTCTGTGCTTAGCCTCAAGGTAGCAGACATAAACAACATTCCAAGGACACTAGAAATTCAAGAGGTAAAAGGGAGGAACATAAAACACACAGTCAGTTACCTAGGGGTAAATGGTACTGGGGAAACTAGTGGAACCAAAAGCTGACAAGTCCCCTGTCCTCTGGACTTGATGGCACGCATCCCAGAATCTCAAAGAAATAGTAGGGGAGACAGAAAATACATTGGCTGTGATCTTCCAGAATTCCCTGAAATGTGCCAGCAGTTTGTAAAGTAAACATAATACATCCATTCAAGAAGAAAGGGGGAGAATAAAATAAGCAATATTATTTAAATGCAGAGGGAATATAATACTTTGCTTGAGGGAACTGGTGCACTGACACATAAATCTCAATGTTGGACATCAGTAGATTCAGTTTTAGAGGAAACAAAAGTCTTAAATAAAAAGTTAAAAATTCTCTCAGAGCTTCCTTACGAGTTAAACTTCCATGTATGATGCTATAAATTTCATTAATTCTACAATTACCTCTCTTCTTCACCCTCCAGTAATTTCCTGTATGCACTGATTTCCATATCCAATGCCAGCTTAACATCCAAAAGATCTTCATATTCATTTAGCTGTTGCTGCATCTGTGTTCTGATTTCAGCCATTTCTTTCTCCTTCTCAGCCAGCATCCTGCGATTTCCATCCCTCTCTTTTTCCAGTGCATCTTCTGACTCCTGAACTCTTTCTTGCCAAGCTCTGGCCTATGGAAAGGAAGCAGGATGAGATTCGAATAATAAAAGGCAGTGACATTTAGGAATTATATTTTAAATTCAACAAAAAAATTTGCTTACATCTTTTTGCATGTTGAACAACTGAGTGCTGAGGCTCTCTATCCTCATTGAATTTTCTTTCAGCTCCTCTTCAGCTGCCTTGGCTGACCTGGTGTTCATCTCTGAGGCAAGCCTTGCATTCTCAAGCTGTAAAACATATTATTCAGGAAACATCATAATCAGTACCGCCTCAAAAAAAAAGATACACAACTGAGTCACTTACTCAACTATGCCGTCAATTTCCCTTCAATTTTAACATCACAAACAAGTACAATTTTTGATGTTAGAGCTTTAGAAAAAAAAAAAATCACTAACAATCTGAAGGGCATTAAGGATATTAAATTGAGAATTAGTTGAAGAGCACTACTTATAGATTTTAAAAGGTAACAGCTAACATTCACTTCCATTAAAACCAACAGGTGACTAATACTGGAGGTTGAGACACTCTCTGGCCCATTCAGTCTGTACCACCCCACTAGGCCCATTGCTTTGAATATTATGACACTTCAGGTGCTCACCAAAAAGTGAGATTTCTCACATCAACTACCCTACCAGGTAGAGCATTCCACAAACTGCTCCCCCCACCCCCCGCAACTATCTGTGTGAAAAGGTTTTTGCACAAAACCTCCACCCCTTAACTTTAACATTATGTCCTGTTGCTACTGACCCTTCAACTAAGAGGAACAACTGTTTTCTACTCATCCTGTCCATACCCTTCAACCTTATGCACTTCTTTAAGGGCCACCCTCAGCCTTCTCTCCTCCAAAGACTAGAACAAGCTCATCCAGCTTCTCTTCATTGCCTAGGATGAAGCATCTCAGCTATATCTTGCTGAATCTCCTTTCTATCCCCTTCAGTGCAATAACATTCTTCCTGTAGTGTTGTGACCAGAACTGCACACTGCACCACAGCTGTGGCTTAACCAAAGTCTGTACAGCTCCTATATTAACCTTCCTGATCTTCTATTCTACGCTCGAATTGATAAAGGCAGGAGTTGTATTAACCAGTCCCACCACCTTCAAGGATCTACAAACAATCACCCCAAAATCCCTCCGTTTCAGCATTCACCTGGACCCCCACCATTCCCTGCTTGTTCCTTCTTCCAAAGTGCATCACCCCACATTTATCAAGGTTAAATTCTACATGTTTGTATCCACCTGCAACTCTAGATTTTCCTCCTCACAGTCAACCACCTAGTCAATCTGCACATCATCTGCAAACTTCGTATCACCCAGACACACACTCATCTACATCACTAATGAATATCACAAACAAACAACAAATGACCCAGCACTGATCCTTGTGGTACACAACTGCACACCAGGCTCTAGTTACACAAGCAGCTTTTAACCACCAACCTCTACCTTCTGTCACTAAGCCTATTTTGAATCCAATTCATCAAGTTAGCTGAATCTCATGAGCTTTAACCTTCATTATCAGTTTCCGGTGTGTGACCATGTCAAAAGGCCTTGCTGAGATCCATATAAACATCAATATGTTGAAGGAGGAAGTTTTGGGTATCCTGCGGTGCATTAAGGTAGATGAGTCCCCAAGACCAAATGGGATCTAACCCAGATTATTGCAAGAAGGGAAGAGATAGCTTCGGCATCAGCAGATATCTTCACATCCTCTTTGACCACAGGTGAAGTTCCAGAGACTTGAGATTAGCCAATGTTGTTCCCTTGTTTAAGAAAGGAAGCAGGGATAATCCAGGGAATTACAGGTCGGTGAACCTGACGTCGGTGTTTGGGGAAGCTCTTGGAAAAGACATTAAGGGACAAGGTATATGCACATTTGGAAGAAAATGGACTAGGTGAGTGACAGGCAGCATGGTTTTGTATGGGGAAAGTGATGTCTCACCAAACTGTGAATTTTTTGAAGAGGAGACAAAGATAATTGATGAGGGAAGGGCTGTCGATGTAGTTTATATGGACTTTAGTAAGGCATTTGATAAAGTCACACATTGCAGGTTGGTACAAAAAACTAAAATCACATTGGATTCAGGGTGAACTGGCTAGATGGTCACAAAACTGGCTTGGTCATAGAAGACAGGATAGCAGTGAAAGGGTGTTTTTCAGAATGGAGACCAGTAACTACTGGTGTTCCACAGGGATCAGTCTTAGGTCCTCTGTTGTTTGTAGTATATATAAATGATCTGGAAGAAAATGTGGGTGGTCTGATTAGCAAGTTTGCAGATGGCATGAAGATTGGTGGATTTGTTGATACTGAAAGGATACAACAGGATAGAGATAGATTGGCGACTTGGGCACAGAAATGGCAGATGGAGTTTAATCCAGACAAATGCAAGGTGATGTATTTGGAGGATCAAATTTAGGTGTAAATTTGACTGTAAATGGCAGAGCCCTTAGGAACATTAACATTCAGATGGATTTGGGTGTGCAGGTCCACACAGTTCCCTAAAAGTGGCAACACAGGTGGCCAAGGTGATTAAGGCGGCATAGGGCATGCTTGTCTTCATCGCTCAGGACATGGAGTACAAGAGTTGGCAAACCATGTTGCAACTATACAAAACCCTTCTAAGCTGCATTTGGAGTATTGTGTGCAGTTTTGGTCACCACACTAACCAGAAGGACGTGGAAGCTTTGGACAGAATACAGAGAAGGTTCACCAGGATATTGCCTGGTCTTGAGGGCACTGGCTATGATGAAAAAGTTTAAAATACTAGGAATATTTTCACTGGAAAGATTGCAGCTGAGAGGTCCACAAAACTTTGAGGCGCATAATAGGGTGGATAGTCAGAGGCTTTTTCCCAGGGCTGAAGTTTCCATTGCGAGGGGGCATAGGTTCAAGGTGAGTGGGGTGGGAAGTTTAAGGGAGATGTGCGAGGGGAGTTTTTCCATGCAGAGAGTGGTAGGAGCCTGGAATGCACTGCCAGAACAGGTGGTGGAAGCAGGCAGGTTGACAACATTTAAGAGGCATCTGGATGGTTACATGAATAGGGAGGGAATAGAGGGATACAGACCACAAAGATCTGTTCTGGGTCCTCTTCTATTTGTGATTTTTATAAATGATTTGGATGTAGGAGTGGAAGGGTGGATTAGTAAGTTTGTGGACAATACGAAGGTGGGTCGAGTTGTGGATAGTGTTACAGGATAGCTGTGGATAGCTGTTCTAGGTTACAAAGGGACATTGATAGGATGCAGAGCTGGGTTCAGAAGTGGCAGATGGAGTTTACCACTGAAAAGTGAGAGGGGATTCATTTTGGAAGGACAAACTTGAAAGCAGAATACAGGGTTAACGGAAAGATTCTTGGCAGTGTGGAGGAGCAGAGGGATTTCGGGGTTCATGTCCCCAGTTCTCTGAAAGGTGCCACCCAGGTGGATAGAGTTGTTAAGGCGGCGTATGGTGTGTTAGCTTTCATTAATAGAGGGATTGAGTTCAAGAGCTGTGAAGTTATGCTCCAGCTATACAAAACCCTGGTTCGGCCACATCTGGAGTATTGTGTCCAGTTCTGGTTGTCTCATTACAGGAGAGGAGAGATGTGGAAGCACTGGAAAAGGTGCAGAGGATATTTACCAGGATGTTGCCTGGGATGGAGGGAAGGTCTTACGAGGAAAGGTTGAGCACGCTAGGGCTTTTCTCTTTAGAACGACGAAGGATGACAGGTGACTTGATAGAGGTGTACAAAATGATCAGAGGTATAGATAGAGTAGACAGCCAGAGATTTTTCCCTAGGTAGCTATTACGAGGGGGCATAGTTTTAAAGTGAGTGGAGGGAGATACTGGGGAGATGTCAGAGGTAGGTTCTTTACTCAGAGTGGTAGGGGCATGGAATGCATTGCCAGAGAGGGTAGTGGCGTCGACCTCATTAGGGGCTTTTAAGCGGCTATTAGATAGGCATATGGATGATTGTATAAGGTCGGGGTGGAGGATAGATAGACCTTAGGTTTAGGGTAAAAGTTCAGCACAACAGCGCGGGCCGAAGGGCCTGTACTATGCTGTACTGTTCTATGTTCTAGACCAAATAAAGGGCAGAAGGCTAGTCTTTTAGATTAGTTAGGGCATGATGATCGGCACAGGCTTGGAAGACCGACTGCTACGTATTTATCCTCAATAACTGCGCCAGTCTATTTCGGCCAGACACTGCCTTTTTTCTAAAAAAAAAAAATCCACCTTACCCCAATCCAAAACCCTTTGGCGCAGACCATCTTTTTCCTTTTCCATAAGAAATTAAAACATAATGTGGTCGATATAACAAAAATGCTCCCCACTGTCACCTCAAACACCTGTCTGGTTAAATTGCCTAAAATTAGATCCAGCACTGTGCTGCCCTTTATAGGACCATCTATATGTTGATATGAAAAAGCTTGCCTGTATATTATTCAAGAAATTTGCCCCCCTCAACTTTTTACTATGATTATCCCAATTAGTACCAGGGTACTTGAAATTCCCTAATCTAAAAAGCTAACTTATTAGTTTAACACACCTCAGTGAACCGTTTACATGTTTGCTCCTCAGTTACCCACTCACTGTTTCAAAGCCTGAAATAAACAAAGTGTGACTGCCCCATTTTATTCCTAATGTCTTCTCGCAAAGTCTCAACTGATGGACCCTTCAAATATATCATCCTTCCTTCCTGCAGTAACTGACTCCCTAATAAATAATGTGACACCACCTCCAATTGTCACGCTCCCCATCTTGCCTGAAGACCCTATACTGCAGAATGTTGAGTTGTCAGTCTCGTCTTCCCCTCAACCGCAGTGATGGCAACATTACATTTCCACATGTCAATCCATATCCTTAACACAGCTGCCGTACATATATTGTGCCTGGCTTTGAAATAGATGCTGTCCATTCTCACTCTCACTCCTTTGAGACACAACAAAGCTGAATTCACTCTGCTTTTAAGATGTGCTGCATCGCTGTTGCACTAATTTACAGTGTCCTCTCCCCTGATGAATTAGTTTAAGCTCTTCCGAACAGTATTAGCAAGCTCTTCCATAAAGGATGCTCATCCCACTCTGGTTCAATTGCAGAGAGCCCCTTCCTACACCAACTCTTGAGCCACACATTCATCTGCTTGTTCTATTTTGGTGTTTTTCAGAATTCCTTCGAATACAAAGCATTGTTCTGACTGAATTAAAAACAGAAATTGCTAGAGAAATTCAGCAGGTTTGGCAGCATCTGTGGAGAGAAAGCAGAGTCAACTGCTTGATCTCTCTCAACTGTCAAACAAGTACTGTAAATCTAATTATATATTGCCTCTCACTACCAGCTTTAAGAAACTAATGGCATACAAAAGAAAACAGAATTGCACAGTTACATCTATCATTGCTTCCTTACATAACAGTACAGAAAATATGAAAATCAATTATTAGGAAAGTGGCAACAACACAAAGAGTAAGGCAGAATCACCAATTAAATCAAAAACAAGTAGTCATTGTCAATCGGGGGTTGTAAATAATAGGACGGTCAAGGGACAAACTAATAAATGTAATGTATTTCATTTTAAAAAATCCTCCCCATTTTAAGATGTACCAAAACATCAAGATGATCACAGGAAATGTTATCAAGCAAATCAGACGTCAGGATACTTAGGGAAATGAGGACAGGTGTTAGACACTTGGTCACAGAGGCTGAAGAACATCCTAATAAAAGGAGAACGAATTAGGGAAGAGAGGTTCTCTGCAGCTGAAGGTGCAACTGTCAATGCTGGGTACAAGGTGGTCAAATTGGAGATATGTAGGGATTGGAGTAGATTGCAGAAGACAGATTGCTAGGTACAATTCCATTGGAGGGGCGTAAAAACCAAGAGCGAGAATGTTAACAGACATCACTAAACTGGGGGCTGTAGCACTGGTAATAGTTGAACAGGAGTTGATGCAGATTTTAATACATTGAACAAAACTTTGGATAACCTCCATTTTACCGAGGATACAAATTGGAAGTCAATCAGGACGGCACTGCAATGAAGTAGACTCTAGTGAGTAAAGAAATGCATGACGACTGTATACTTTGCAGGGGTTGAGATGAATGACACTACCAAAGCAGCAGTAGGCAGTCTTTAACATTTCCAATTCAGTCTGTTCAGTGATGTTATAACACATCTTTTAAGCAGGTGGAACTTGAACCCAGGCCTTCTGGCTCAGAGGCAGAAATACTACCACTGCACTACACTAAAAGAATAATCTTTAACAGTGCATTACGAGTGCAGTAATTAAAATAAGACCACTGTAACTACAGTAGTCAGATAATTGAATCTGTACAGCATTTAGCTACAAAATTAAACACAGTAATTTTTTTCAAATAAACAAAAAGATCATTCAGGAAAGATGGTGGCATAGTGGTAAGGTCATTGAACTAGTAATCCAGGAGGTTGAAGCTCTGGGGGAGATAGGTTAGAATTCAACCATGGCAGTGGTAAATTCCATTGATAAAAATGGAGCACAATGCCAGTCTCACAATGGCAACCATTATAACCATCATTGATTGTTGTAAAAGCTCATCTTGTTCACAGATGAGTTTTAGGGAAGGAAACACGTCATATCAGTCTGATGCATAGCTCCAGACCGAGTGATGTAGTTGATACTTAACCTCCTACACTCTGGTCTAGCAAGTCTACTCAATGACAAACCGGGAGTGGCAACAAATGCTGGTGTTGTTAACCACATCTACTTTCCATGAAGTATAAAACTGAAGACTTCTAAAACTAGAGCAACACCAAAAAAAAACTGAAAAAAAGAGTCAAGTAGTTCCAGTGTCAGAAAAAGAGAAGACATGATTTAACATTTCATCCAGTCATTTGAAATTACAGACGTAGCCATTTGCTGGAATGTAACTTGAGAATCAGCACCATTTACATGTTGGTTATCATATACAGAGCAACACTCAAATGTTCAAAAAACATTTCAAGGTTATTGGCTGCTATGGAGCAAAATTTCAAAATTACAATTAGTGCTCGGATGTATTTATTTTGTGAGCAACATCAGAACCATTCTCTAATTTTGGAATGTATGACCTATGTAGTTAAACTAGATGGAGTATAACTGTTGAAAAAAATAAATTGAAGGAAATATACTGCAAATAATAAAATCTCAAGAGCAACCAATGAATGTAGGTACATAGAGCACTGGAGATTGAAAATGCAGGTTAAGTAGACCAGGAAAAGAGTAAATCATTTTGCTGTTTGATACATAAAAGGCTGAATTTGCACACACATTACATTGGAGTATTCTACAGATAGATCTGGGAAGGCCATCATATAAACATTGTAACAACTTAGCGCACAATAAATATGGACTGGAGTTGAGGAGGGGAAAATATTTGTTTTGTCAAAAGAAAAATAGGATGAATTGAAATATCAGAAGATGATGATTTAAAAAAAAAAACACTTCTACAAACCTATCCAGCAGTTTTCCTTTATTTTGATGCAGTGGATTATTCTTCTCTGCACATGTTATTACAGAAAAATCAGATGAAAAGGCTGTTACCTTGTCATGGAAATTTTTTTCTAGTTCTTCTTTATAGATTTTCACTTGTTGATCATGTTGTTCTCTCAATTCCTGCAGAGCTTTGGCCAGCTTGTGCTCATATTCAACTAAGCGACCTGTATCCACTTCCACCAGACGAGTCTCATGTCGCTTTCTGGTTTCTTTGATTTCCTGGAGTCAAACAAAAAACAGACACTCATACAGAGTAGTGACACCAAACAAATAGCGATCCTCACATCTCAGTAACACTTCTTTACCCAACTTTTACGATAACATAGATGAAATCTGAAAGGGTGTAGTCCAGAGTATGAATGCACTAGACCAGACTTGCTTTGGGAAAAGTACTTGCATGGAAAGCTACAGCATCGAGACTAGCTGGGTAAGTGGAGTATACTTTTGAATTAAAAGAAATCTGAAGTATCTACAACAAAGGCCGATTAAAATTCCTTCAACACCATTTCATAAGCTTTCCACTTTTGGATCTTATGAATTTGCATGCAGCAGCTGTCGGTAAATTACCCTCCACATTGAAACAGAATTCTAACCAAATAAATTGTCATATTCTACTTCAAACTGACAAGGTCAGAAATAGGAACAGGAGAGGGTTCTCTGGCACTTCAAGCTGCACCACTATTCTGACTGATAGGATATTATCCTGAAGAAAAATCATTTCTCAAGGCAGTGCTGTGGTGAATCCTGTCCCTCCCCAGCTATTGTTTAGCTGGGAAAGGCACTATCATTGGATATCTTCTGTTGGCATGTCAATACAGGCAGATTCGAGCTCAATGAAGTGAGCGACTCTGCAAGCCCGACTGATAAATCTTCAATTGCTCGTGTAATTCTTGTACTAGGAATACCCACTGTGACAGCCCAGGTTCAGACAGCAAAATACTCCAAAACCACTTTAACCTCATCCCCATATGTCTATTTAAAATTTCATTGTTGCCTTATTCATCACTATTGCCCCCATCAAGCATAACTTCAACACTTCCCTTAATTTAACCCAACACAAAGTGCAACTCATCAAAAAAAAAAATGCAGCTGCTCCATCCTGTACCGCAAAGTTTTCTTCTTTTGCTTTGCACCTTTTGTCAACTTGCCACCTCCTAGTCCGTTGTCCAACATTCTGAATTCAAGATACAAATTCTTATAAAATCATTCCACCCCTCGAAGCCTTTAGAGAGAGGTGGGATCTGTAGGGGCTGGAGTGCATTATTTTCACCTCCAAATCCATTTTAAGCTCATCTCTCGTCCTCCCCTCCCTTATATCTGTCATTGTTGTACTGCCCCTGATAGCCAGTGCTCATTGCTAACTATTAAATTAGTAATAGTTGATTTGCAGATCATTCAATTAAAAACTCTACAACTTTATTCCTTGAATTTAGAAAGCTCTCGAACCCAAAACTCCTGCGTGTGACCACTTGACATTCCAATTTGAGCCTCTCTACTCCATTGTTAATGTCACTTTTCAGCCACTAAGATAATAACTTAACATGCTCCCTGTAAATTCCATTCTCTCATTCTCAACTAGGTCTTTGGTCTTGCCCAGTTCAATTTCACTGAGCCTTCACTTTCTCCAAACCAGCACTTGCATTTCAAATTGATAAACTCGTGTTTGCTCTTTCAAAACTACCTTTTGCCTACCGCCTGGCTCAACTTTTAAAAATACCTCTGTACTTTCATTTCACCAGAAGTGTATTAGTTTCAAAGCTTGCCATATAAAATACCCAGATAATCTATATAATATATGTAAGCCATCATAGCATATTACTATAACTAAAAACTTTCTTAATCCCTTAACACATTGAACTTAGCTTTTGGATGCAGTGAGGGCCATCATACATTAATTACAACCAGCCATTTTTGAAAGTTGACTCCTATAATACAAAAAGTTAAACTAAATCCAACAGAAAAATTCATTTTTGTTCTTAAAGCAAAAAAGCAGTATTTACCATTTGAGTTTCAGCAAGGTGAATGCTCTAACGTAAAAATCACCATTAACTTGTCACACTCCCAAATCAGAAGAGAAGCAGAGTCATCTAATGTGCAACTTAATAATCTAAATCTAGGTAGAGGTTTAGGAAGTGGTTCGGCTGGTATTTTAAACTGATGCGGTGGCCAAAACCATTCCCTAAACAAAAACAAAGTCTCTACCACAGTTTATTCAGAAAGTACATTTGAATCCAAAATGTATCAAGGAGGAAGTCAGGCTTGCAATTGCCTACAGCATTTTTTCAGCTCACTCCATAGTTATGAAAGAGGGGAGACTGGGCGAAAATACAAAAGTGAATCCAAATTGGTTTCTTCAACCTCACTTAAAAAATTGAGAACATAAGCACAAATATTCGCAAAAGAAGTTTCCTCATATTTATATCTCATAGTAGCCTAGAGTTAGAGGAATGGGAATGGCAACAGCCACATCCACAGTAACAATATTTTTGACTTAAGACTATTTTCTACCGTTACCTCTGTGAATACAACAACAGTGTTTAACACAAGGCAAGGCATGAATTAACAGTGATCCTGAACTTGCAGTTTGTCATTTGCTACTCTGCAAAAGACGATACTCTACAACACACTGTCCTGTCCACAGAGTTGTCAGCAAAATAAATGAAAGAACTTCCCTTTCTCATTCTCACTGTTAGAAACCCCATGCAAAGTCTTTCCAATAAAGCAGACAAGGAGTTTATTATCTAACCACTATTTTATAATTTCTGAACAATGGCTTAGCCTTCAATGTTTCTTCCTTCGTGATCAGTGTTATCCCAGCTGATTGTAAAACTGGACCAGATACTAGAACAAAACCTGGTTTGAAAGATCACGTGCTTAACTTCAGTTAATTAATGTGGTTTACCACAGAAAACTTTTCACATGACACTGCAGACTGCTCTTCTCAAAAACTGGTGCACATATTCATAGCTATATACAGCAAAACACTAACATTTTTAAAAAGTGTCCAAAGTTCTTCTAACCAGTTTTTCTGCACAGCTAATTTTTTTTTTTCAAATGAGGTGAAGTATCTTTCAATTCCATTCTCTGCACAATGCACTAAAAATGGATTTTGAGGCAAATAAATATCTCAGTGGAATCATTCTAAGTTACTACCTTTCTTTGCCCTAAGCTTTTCTTTAGCCAAGTCATGTCTGATTTCCCCCTCTCTTTGGGGATCAAGCCTTTTATTTTCCATTGCTCTACTTTTCCTTTCTGCCCTCATGTCCAATTTATCTTACTTTTTTCTCCTCCCTATCTATTGCTCTTTTCATTTTCTCCTTTCAATTTAAAAGTCTTTACAATTCTAAAGCTTTTTCCTCTAACTCAAGGAATTCCACCCCCCCACCCTGATTTCCAGCTGAATTGTAGTTAATCCTAGTGCAAACATCTCAAATTTCAGATTTTTCTTATTTCAATTTTAACCGTGGAGTAATCACTTGAAGGACCTCATTCGAATGTGAACCTACTTCTACTTCTATCATCAACTAAAACTCATTTTAGCCTTTGTGAATTATTTGAAATTGCTGACTGGTATGTCTTCTATTCCCAAAAAACTCTTAGCAACCCACAGCCACTCAAAGTCCAATTCATGCAATAAACTTCACCACAACACTCCTGGTATAGATGTCTAGAAGCTCCACTTTAGTTTCTTTATAAAAGGGGCACAGATTCCTTAAATTCAATAAATTCCATTTCCATATAAGCCCCAATTCATTTCAATCCCAGCTGATGACACTACTAGATTATTCGACGCTAGAATGAAAACTGGATCAACAGATTTTTTTTTTGTTAATTAACATGGCTCTTAGTCACCAAAACATATCCACAAGGCTGCAAATAAGTAATAATAATGAAAGTTTATTTACAAAGAAAACAATAAACCGACATGCTACTGGTACGATCGAAAGCAAACATCACTAGATTTCTAGCTGTTTCTCAACAGCACTTGTTAAAGATACAAGTCCAGAGAAATTACACCCCTCTCTCAATTCTCTGTTTCTACTTAACCGACTCCTTCCTTCCAGCTTCTCTCCCAGACTGTGGAGGTAATTTGATTATTCTTTTAGAGTCTACTGTCATGAACTCAAATCAGAGATAGAGACACAGTCTAAACTTTCTCAGTTACAATAACTTGCAGATTTTTATTCAAACTCCCCCAGACTGGAAGCTTCACAAACAAGACACTTTGGTTGCATTAAACACCAAAAGAAAATGAAGAACTGTGGACACAGGGAATTTGAAACAGAGAAAGCACTGGACAAACTCCGCAGGTCTGGCAGCATCTGTGGAGACAGAAGCAGAGTTAATGTTTTGAGTCCGGTGACCCTTCAGAGCCGTCAATTCTGCGGAGTTAACTGGCTTCCTTGAACTACAAACTATAAAACTTTTGCTTCTGAATTTCTAGACTTCTCTGAATTGAACAGAAAAACTTGCTGAACTGAAACAAAATTTTGGCCTCAAATCATCAGTTTAAGCATGTTTCTATTAACACCACAGGGTCTGCTGGCGCATGCTTTCTGAGCAATGCTGGATTTAGGTCATGGCTCCACAATAACTTGCTGACCTTTTCAAAATAAAGAAATAGAC